AACCTTTGCCTGAGATCCACCCTGAGCCTGCCCTGACACAGCTCCAGCCGTTCCCTTGCCACTGTCCCCTATCCCAGAGCAATCCCGCAGCGCCAAAGCAATCCCCTGCCCCGCTCAGAACTTTCCTTCTCTCCAAAATATGACCAAACCATGAAAAAACGTCGAGCTTCCGATCTGTAAGTGCAGCTGTTTCCCTGCACTTCCGAAGGGCTGCACAGTCAAAAACTCCCAGCAGCGCCACAATTCCACAACTGGCTGCTTCCCGGGGGAGGGAATAAATAAATTCGAGTTTATCTCTTCTAATTGCGGCCGAAATAAGGAGAAGGAGATGTAAGTGTGCGTTGTAGAGGGGAAGGAAGGTGGTAAGGGAGGACTGGGGTTGTCCCTGGAGCGGGAGCAGAACCAGCCATGCAATGGATCCTCCTGCCAGGAGAGAGAGCCCTCGGCTCAGCTCTCAGCCCTCTGCCTCCTGCAGAACCTCCAGCGCTGCCAATTAGAGCTTTTCAAACCCAACCTGTCAGCAAAGGAGATGTACCAGCGAGTCTCTCCTGCGAGAACAGCGCCCTGAGAACACGCTCCTGTCAGGAGCAGCGTCTGCCCCGAGTGTTTGGCACAGGAGGGAGGTGGGGGGAGTCCCCCCGCTATTTTCTGTCTAAATTAAGTGGGTTTCCAGCTTTAATGAGCTCCTTTCCATCTCCTTGTGGCAATCTTCGCCTAAAGCTGAGCCCCAGAGACAGCCCGGGAGGTGTCAGGGAGCAGCATCCACACCTGGATCGGGCGGGGGAGATCTTCAGGATGTACCTGTGTGAAAATCTACTCAACATTCACGTCGCTCTCTGACCTGCTGTTGGGGAAAACCAAAACTTCCGGGGGCGAAGAGTCTGGATTTGGCATCAGGAATTAATCAGTGGAGAAAATGAACCAAGCACCAAGACCAACCAGCCTGTTTGGGACTGCAGCCAGGACCAGGTGATACAGAAAGAGTGTAAGAAATAAAACCGGTATAAAATGATTTTTGAGATCATATTTGGTTATCTAAATAATCAGGAAATCCTGATTTTTTTTTTCCCCCCAAGTGTTACATATTTTTTCCCACATTCACCCTGCCAGCCTGAGTCAAGGTGAAAAAATGTCCTTTTTTTTTCCTTTATTATTATTTTTAAACCTACCTCCAAATTATTTGCAGTCTCGGGACCTCTGTAATTCTCTGTGTCGTGACCTCGTCTCATTTAAAAAGCTGAATCCTGGTATGTGCCTTGTTTGGGAAGGAGCAGCCACTGGATCCTGGAGAGGCTCTGCTGAGCTGGGCTAGGTGATGTGAGGGGAATTAAGAAAGGCTGAACCTTTCTGTTGGCTCAGCTGAGCAGGATCTGCAGTTTTGCCCTAAGGAAGCTCAGAAATCCTGCTCTTCAAGGTCAAATCTTGTGCTGGTTTTAACCAGCCAGTGAATTCCTGACGTTCTGAATCCCTCTCATGTTTGTTCTGTCACACAGAAATCCCCCGTGTCCTCCTGACACAATTTATTGCTGATTAACTGAGACACCAGAGGATTCCTGGGCATCCCCAGGTATTCCCACCTCGGGGCTGCTTGTGGAGACAATCCAGCAGCTAATGAGGTGCTGATGCCTCGTTATCCTCTCTACAACACGATGTTCTAACAGCGCTGAAAGGAGAATTGGGCAGGAACTCAAATAAACCCTTGATTTGCTCAGCAATTTGACAATTTATTGGTTGTTCTGCCTAAAATAAAAAAAAGCTCCGAGTAATTGGGCCCCCCGTGGGTTTTGAGAAAGGTATGAACAGACTTTTCCCTGAGCTCCTACAGAAACAAATAGTGCTTTTCCCTGCCCTGGGGTGACATTTGCTGCACAAAACACAACACAGGATGTGATGTTTTGCCCAGTGTCCCACACGGCTGAAAATCAGGATTTTCACAAGGTCTTGCTGGATTTCTGCAGTGGGAAGGAGCAAGGAGCGTGTCCAGGCTTTCTGGAAGCTTCCCTAAATCCCTGCATCCTCCCAGGCAGGTGGTGGGGTCACCACCTGTGTCACAGAAGGGAAAAAACTTGCTGGACTTTAAGGCATAATGGAAAAAAAACCCGAAAAACATCAAAAATAACCAGGGAAGTGCAAGAAGTGCAAATGGTTGTGGAGTTTTCCACCTTGGAAATATCCAAGAGCCATCAGGGTGTGGTCTTGTGCAACCAGCTCTGGGTGGCCCCACCTGGGCAGTGTGACCTCCAGAGATCCTTTCCAACCCCAACCTCTCCGTGATTCTCTTTGCTCGGCTCCAAAGTAGAAAGAAAGAGGGGAAAATGCGGTGATTTTCTTTTTTCCCCTTAGTTTAATGCCTAAGAGAAATAACTCAAAAGACTGCTGCTGTTTTTCTGCCTTTTTTTTTTAGGTGTCCAGGAGAGAAGATTTCAAGGAGATGAAGCAGCTTCAGAGTTCTTTGTGCTGCTGCCCACACAAACATTGGGATGACAGGGAAGAGCAAGGATGGGAAGAGAGTGTTGGCTGGGTTGTCTGGCAGCACAGATGCAGAGCAGACAAGAGCAGGAAAACAGTGCACAAAGAAGGGGGTTATTTAATGGTGTGGAAGAGATTCCTTGGAGATGGAAATCCAGCATTTTCATGGACAGCTCAGTGAAAATGTCTCTTCAATCCACAGGGATGGGCAGTGCTGTGTGTGAGGTGTCAGCATGAGTCGGGAATAAAAATAGAGGTTAATTCTGGAAGTGTTATAGTGGATATAAATATATATATAATTGTATAAATCAGGGCTGTGTGCCAGGCCTGACCCATGTGCCAGCCCTGACCTAAATATGGTCCCAGTCTCTTAAAAGACATTGGGGAATTAGGGAAAGACAGCAGAAATAAAGAAATAGGGTGGCATTTCTGAGGGGCATGAATGGGTTGCACACCAGTCCTGGAGGAAAGTGGATCTAAAAGGATGCCATTATTTATTCCATTTGAAAGGTAAACAATAAGAAACCTGGCAAATTCAGTGGGATCTGCCTTCATGCAGCAGCAGTGGGAGTCAAACTCCTCCTTCAGGATCCTTCGTTTGGGACCCGGGCACCATTCCAGGGGGAATGATGAGCCCCAGGTTTCCTATTCCTTGGTTTCCCCCAGGTTTCCTATTCCTTGATTTCCCCCAGGTTTCCTATTCCTTGATTTCCCCCAGCTCTGAGGGGAGGAGATGACTCCCAGCTCAGAGACCTGGAGCTGTGTCAGGGTTGTGCTCCGTGTGGGATCACTGGTGCCGTGGGAAGCACTGGAATTCTTTTCCAGCCATGAGTTCCTCATTGGAACAGATCCATGGAGCAGTTTTAACTCCCTTTGCTGGGCGTCTGCTCCCAGGCCAAATGTGGAGAAGAGAAGCCACCTTGGTGTCCACGAGTGTGTTTTGCCACTATTAAATCCTTTGCATGGATGAGGGTGGAAGGGATGGACCTGGGGAAGAGCTGCCTGGGGCTGTCAGGTCCTAATTAGTGAAAAATTAGCAACTGCCTGAAATTTCTGCCCACTTTTGGAAAGAAAGCTCCGTGCCCTGACTGGAACCCCTCAGCACCTTTATCCATCCAGAAAGGTGCTCAACAGCTTTGAGGGGATGTCTGATGACAGGAGACATGGAAATGAAAGCTGTAATCATATTCCTGGTAAGAGCTGAGCTTCTCCAAGGGCAGGACCATCATCCAACTCTTTCTTAATTCCTACTTCATTTACTGTCACACAGTGAGCAGCTACTGCTGACGCTGTTGGAAGGAGGACAAGCACCTTGGAACCCCTCTCCTGCTTGGAGCTTCTGGCCCATCTGGACATTGGAACAGCAATTAATGGAATGAGAGGAGAAATAATCTTTTTACAAGGTTATGTTGGAAGCAGTGAGAGGTAAATGTCTCTTTTGCCTCTCAGTGCTCAAGGACAGAAATGCTTCTGTGGTCTGGCATTCAAATAATTCAGTTTTGGTTTTTTTTTTAATTTTATTTTTCTTTCTCTTAAGTCTCCAAGTTGAGCTTTGTTTTCAAGAAGAATTGAGAGGTTTGCACCTCCCAGAAGCTTGGAGCTTCTGGCCCTTCTAGACATTGGAACAACAATAGAATGAGATGAGAAATCATATTTTTACAAGGTTATGTTGGAAGCAGTGAGAGGTAAATTTGCCTCTCAATGCTCAAGAACAGAAATGTTTCTGTGCATTGACACATTGGGATTTTTTTTGGTTTTTTTTTTAAATTTTCTTTCTCTAAGTCTCAAAGCTGAGCTTTGTTTTCAAGAATCTTGTGGCTCAAGACACCCCTCAGCCCGTCCACTGTCATGTGCAGAATCTTTCCTTGGAACTCCTACAGCTCCCGGAGCCCCGGCGAGCTTGTGTTCCATCATGGGAAGATACACCAAAAATACACTTTCAAATTTCTCTCAGCATCCTCACTGGTAGTTCCAGACCTATAAACCTGCCTGATCTTTTTTTATTTTCCAGCTTCCATTCATTTCTTCCGCCTCGGCCCCCATCGCTCTCCTCAAAACCGGTTCAAGAAGGAACCTCCCAAGAAACCACCCGGTTTCTTAGGAAAAGAAAAAATTTTAATTCGCTTTAACGGAAAGAAATCTTTAATTGGCTTACCTTCTTAAAATTGGGAGACCTCACCCTGCCCCCTTCGGAGTCAGTGAAGGCCCTGCTGATGGCAAACTGGATGGCCAGGCCGGTCATGGTGCCCGTGGAGAGCGGCTCGATCCTCCTCACGGCCTGCAGGAGCCCGGCCTTGGTGTGGTAGGTCTTGAGGGAGAACTCGTTCTTGACGGCGCTGGCGTAGTTGATGACCCCCACCCTGGTGGAGTTGGGCCCCACGTCCAGCCCCTCGATCACGCGGGACACGAAGACTTTGATCTTCTCGAACTCGTGCGGGCGGACGCTGCGGGAGCTGTCGATGATGAACACCAGGTCCGTGGGTTTGGTCCTGCACAGGGTGCCTGGAACGGGGAAGGAGGGGAGGGGAAAAATAAAACTAGAACAAAAGTGTCCTGGGAGGGAAAAGAGTGGTCTTGGGAGAGCGGTGGCTGAGCAGAGAGGAGCTGGAAGCTTCGATCCTCTCTGGGGTCGTGGCATTTGGGACACCACGATCCATGTGGGTATTAATTGGTTAGATGGGATCTCCATCAGGCATGACCAGAAACAGATTCTGCCTGTCTCAGAGAGCACTTGAACCTAATGATTCTAAATGTTCTTTATCCTTTCTTGGGAAAGCAAGTCCTGGTAGGTGGCCAGTTGTCCCTGAGTCAGCAGTGCCCTGGCAGCCAGGAGGGCCAGCCTTGTCCTGGGGGCATCAGGGAGGGGATTGTCCTGCTCTGCTCTGTCCTGGGGTGGCCTCACCTCAACATTGGGGCGGTTTTGGGCACCACAATATAAGAAAGATCTGAAGCCATTGGAGAGTGTCCAAAGGAAGGCAATGAAGGGGGTGAAGGGCCTTAAGGGGAAGCTGCCTGAGGACAATGAGGGCACTTGGTGTGTTCAGCCTTGGTCTCTACCTCTTGTCACCCCAGGCTGTCACTGATGTCAGTAATGACACCTTATCCACTTATGGCAGCAAAGAGGGGAGAGATAAAGCTGTGAACTGAATCCCAGAATGTGCTGAGCTGGAAGGGACCCCCAAGGATCATGGAGTCCAACCCTCAGTCCTGCACAGGCCCAGCCCCAAGAGTCCCCCCCTGTGCCCCAGAGGATCAGCCAAACCCTCCTGCAGCTCTGGCAGCCTTGGGGCTGTGCCCACTGCCCTGGGGAGCCTGGGCAGTGCCCAACCAGCCTCTGGGGGAAGAACCTTTGCCTGAGATCCAACCTGAGCCTGCCCTGACACAGCTCCAGCCGTTCCCTGGGTGCTGTCCCTGCTCCCCCAGAGCAGAGCTCAGTCCCTGCCCCTCCTCTGCCCCTGCCCAGGCAGTTGGAACTGCACTGAGGTCTCCCCTCAGTCTCCTCTGCTCCAGCTGAACACACCAAGTGCCCTCAGTGTCCTCACACGCCTTCAAATCCAGGCCCTTCCCCATCTCTTTGCCCTCCTTTGGACACTCTCCAATGGCTCAATCCCTTCCCTCCATTGTGTCCCCCCAAACTGCCCCAGTGTTGAGGTGAGGCCCCCCCAGGGCAGAGCAGAGCGGGACAATCCCCTCCCTGATGCCCCCAGGACAGGGTTGGCCCTCCTGGCTGCCAGGGCACTGCTGACCCAGGGACAACTGGCACCCACCAGGGCCCCTTTCCCGGCCCTGTTTTCCAGCCTCTCATTCCCAGTCTCTACGAACAACCAGGGTTGCCCCATCCCAGGTGAGACCTGAGCCTGCACTTATGCACCAAACAAAGCCTGGGAAGGGGTTATGGAATTTCAGCCACCCCCCCCCACATGGATATTAATGAATGAGATGGGATCTCTGTCAGGCACGACCAGAACCAGGCACCAGGCTCAGCAGCTCAGGCTCAGCCGAGCATTGAAACACCGGATTAACCGACCACCTCAGCAGGAAAAACTCCTGGTTTTCACTTAATGGCACTGCCAATAAACTCCTGTAAGACAGCCCAGGTTTGTGTCTGTGAGCTGGGGTGGGAGAACACGACACAGAGCCGTGAACCCACAGAACTGACACTTAATCTCTCCAACCCCACAAACATCCTCTGTGGAAAGGAGTTGGTATGAACAGGAAGCATCAGCAGTGCAACAAGCTGGGTGACTATTATTATTATTTCTTTAATTTCCCATTTTCATGCCAGACATGGACACGTATAGACATGGACAAGCTCGAGGAGTGCTTGGACAATGCTTTCAGGGACAGGGTGGGATTGTTGGGGTGTCCTGTGCAGGGCCACAGGTTGGATTGGGTGATCCCTGTGGGTCCTTTCCAGCTCAGGATATTTTATGATTCTATGATTCTAAATCGAGACAAATATTTTGAACTGCAAACTGCGCTTTGGTTCGGTAGAAACAGGTTTAAGGCAGAGGTGGTGGATCGGTCTCTTGGCAGAAAAACACGATATCTGGCCGTGTTCTTAACTCAAAACGTGTGTTGCCTTTGACAGGTTGTGTTTGGTAGCACAGCCCGGGTTTGTGCCTGTCAGCTGGGGTGGGAGAACACGACACAGAGCTGTAAACCCACAGAACTGACACTTAATCCCTCCAACCCCACAAACATCCTCTGTGGAAAGGAGCTGGAAGCATTAGCAGTGCAACGAGCTGAGTGATTGTTATTATTATTTCTTTAAGCTCCCATTTTCCTGCTATTTTCCATCTTCATTTTCAACTGCGGCAAAACATAAAATAGGGCTGATATTTTTTTTTATGGTTTTCCAAATGAATTGTCCCCTTTTTTCCCCACCAGACCTACAGCATGCTGCTCTTTTAATTTTGTGCCATCATTTAGCCTGTCTCTATCAGGGCATCAAACGCTCTGTTAATATTTGATTTCTGCAGCCAGGGACTACAGAAGTTAGTAGAAAGGAAATTTCTGTGGACAGATTTTTAAATGGGAGCTTTTTGGGCCAACAAATCTGTTCCAAATGATGACATAAATATTATAGCAAGTCCTCAGCGTGAAATCTAATGGAGCTTTCAGTCTTTTGGGCAGATAAAAATAAATACCCTGTGATATATCCATAAAGAATATAATCAGGTTTGTTTCCTGAGAGACACTAATGCTGAATCTGCCTCTGGCTCCCAGAAAGGTCTTGCTGAAGATGCTAAAGAAGGGAAGCAGGCAGTGGTCACTTTGTCAGATGCTCTAATTTCCTCTAAAATGCAATATAACCTTTTCCCATATGGATGACTTTCATTTTTCCCACTGTAATTCGTTGCACAGGAAGGAAAAATTCACTTGGTTGTGCCCATTTTACAGGTGAGAAATGAAGGTACAGAGAAAGGCTCAAAGTTTTGCAATCAGTCCCTGCAGAAATAAAGCCCAGATTCCCCTTTGCCCATGTGGCTGATGAATCACCTCTGGATTTACTGACAAATCAAGGAGGAAAAGTTGTTTTTTTTCCCTTTGGACTAGTTGGATCCAATAGAAATTTTGAAATATATCTATTTCTTTTTGCATGAAAGCTCTGTGATTTTGTCCTAAATAACATTTTCAACTTCTTTTTTTTTTAAGAGCAAAATATATTTCAGAGAAATGAAGGGAAAAGAAGGGATATCAGGTGGGAGCTTTGGGATTTTGGCCTGTCTGCTCACAGGCCTTGATCCTTTCCAGGAGGTGACAGACAGGACACTTGC